TTGTAATATGACGAATCCATAATAAATAATAACAAAGTTCGTTCGTTCGGACGAATAGTATCTACAACAATAGGCACAAATATGAAGTCGTCTCTCAGAGACTCATATTTGTGCCACTTAATTAGATCAGATAAGCTAATAAAGCTAGTTTACTAAGCTAATTATAAAATAAATAACACTGACCTCACATCTACACTCTGATGCTAAAAAATTATATCTACTACACCTTTCAAATAATTAGCTTATGCTTCAAAGCTTTATCAACTTGGTGTGATAAGGAGACCAACGTCAGGAATCTGGCACCTTTGCTGGCACTATGAGACCATGACAACGCAGCGCCATACTAATGAGGGCTAATAACTTTCTGCTCACCAGATGTCGCTAGTTGACACTGAGGTAAAGTTTTTAATTACACAATGTAATTTAATAGAGAAGTTAGTTTTAAATAAAAGTTTATCAGTTTCTAGCATATTGTATTAATACACAAAACAATGCGTCAGTGGTTTGCTCTTTAATTTTTTCTTGCACATTTTTAACATTTTTTAAAATTTTTCTACTATTATGAATATCTGTGGTTTGGTTTATTTATTTTTAATTTAATTAATATAAAATATAGCTATATAATAGTACAAAAATAAACAATAACTTTTACATTTTCCGAACAAATTAACTTTCTAGTGGCGCCGCCCTGGTGGCAGAAAAAGTCGTGGATGCCCATTTCGATGCGTCATTTCCCAAAGTATTTGATGTTTTAAATTGATAAATGTGTCAGTTCTATACCACTCGCCTCGCTGTTTCATTATTTTTCTGTTTTGCAAAATCGAAAAAAATTAAAGTCTAGCAAAGAAGACGTTCAGGCTACGGTACGGTTTCTTTTCTCATGTGCTCAGGCTGCTTATAATTTCGAGAGATAACAAAACACTTTTAGTAGAAAAATTACTCAGGCAGAAATATTTAATAACCGCGCGATGTTCGAGTTTCTCCATCTATACAAATAAATAAAATTGGAGTGTCTGTTTGTAACGTCAAAATACAACTTTTCACTAAATGCATATGAAAGTATATATGGTACTTATAACAAAAACACAATTTTAAAATTTTTGTCTGTCTGTCTTTCTGTCTGTCTGTCTGTCCGTCTGTCTGTCCGTCTGTTTGTTCCGGCTAATCTCCGAAACGGCTGGACCGATTTTGATGGGACTTTCACTGGCAGTCAGCTGATGTTATAAGAAGTAACTTAGGCTACTTTTGTTTTAGAAAAAGAATTAGGGTTCCGCGCAAAAGATTAAAAACCTAAATTACACTCGGGCGAAGTCGCGGGGAACAGCTAGTTTTGCATACGAATCAAATCCCGCCAAATGGAAAGTTTGAAAAAAACTGGATATAGTTTTTAATTTAGTTTTTTTTTGGCCTTGGCTACTAACAATTTTAAGTCCTATTCCGAAAACTTATTGATAAACCTAGTATTATGACGCGTAATATTAACTTTTAAAAAGTTACAAAAAGAGGATACCTGCGAAATTTCTTTAGCTGTTTCTTTTCCGGTCGGAAGAACTTTATTTAGATGGTTTAAAAAATGACATTTGACAAACGAAATTTATTTTCTTATCTTCAATCGTTATGTACAGTCTGTTGGGTTAAGCTGTTGTCAAAATGTTCCAAAACTTCGCAATATGACGCATTAATATTTTGTGAAAAGAATTGTTTATAAATTATTTTATACGTTAATTATTTTCAAAAAATAATTTATCACTCTATTTCCTCACATCGATGGCGTTAAAGGAGACTTTGAATCATCATTACAGCCCTTCATAAGTCCACTGCCGAACATAAGCCTCTTACGTCCGGGATATCTTCGGAATAGTATCGGATAAGACTCGCTCTTGGATCGTTACTTACACTTGCGTGTGGCTCCAACGATGACGTGTACAGCTGCCCATAGAATCTCTCAATTTCACTCAAAATCTCAGGTGTCCCGGAAACGATGCAGCCACACTCGGTCTTCAGCTTTAACAGTTGGCTCTTTCTGGCAGACAGATCTCTGGCAAAGACTTTAGAACCTTGGTTCAAATGCCAGAATAATGTTGTGGCTTCCGATGGACGGGGGATGTAACCATCTCACTTACTTCAGAATATTTTTATAGAATACTAATTATTTTTATAGAATAAGGGTGACAAACGAGCACACAGTTTACCTAATGGTAACTGGATGCTGTGGCCCATAGACATTTACTATCTATTCTTGATTAAGAATCAATATGCAGATGCGGTCTCCGGTTCTCTCCACTCACTATACGAAACACCGTCAAGCTGCTATTTCATAGTATTATTCCGTAAGAGCGTGGTCCTTCCCCGGTCGAGCCGACCTATTCGTGCTACAACCATAGATAATATAGATGCAGCATGGCTCTACTACGTAAAAGCCTTGGCGTCTAGTACTGAGATCATCAATCCACCTACCAAGTATGACGGGTAAGGAAATCCTACACTGGTTCACCCTATTTATTTAAGTAATTTTTATACACCTATTATGTATAGGGTCAATAAACTGTGCCTAAAGAAATAAAAAAAAGCTACGTGAGAAAAATTAAGAAGGCCGAGTGAACGACCGCGATGTTGCCACTTTTAAACCTAAGTGCAAATTACGTTATACAAGTTAATTCGCATAAATTAGTTTTTTTTTTTTTTGCTTGAAAGTATTTTTTTTTATTTTGATACAAGAACGAAATTAGCTTTTTTTAAACACTTTTTTATTTATTTTCTTTTTTTTTTTAAAAAACGTTACGCCCACACTAGGATTTTCTTCTGTATCGTGGAGGCAGTTTACAAACACAAATTTCACAAGGACAAACATCCAGACCCGGAACAATCATTTGTAGGCCATACAAATACTTGTTCCGTGCGGGATTCGAACCCGCGCCACCCAGCGCAGCAACTCATTGCTAAGCCACTGCGCCACGGAGCCGTGAAACTTTTATCAAACTTTAAGAGTTTGATAAGGTATTTTAAACTAAGTAGACATATAAGTGACAGCGTAAGTGATTCCAGCACCCCATAATCCTCTTCGCTTCTGCCTGCCGTCGAATATAAACGTTTAATTAACTACTCCGTGATTGTTCAATTTTGTTTGATAAATTAATAATCTCCGAAATAAATTAAGTCGCGAAAATAGGAGAACATATTCGTGGAGGAGCTAGCAACATAAATCCGTCGAGTCTGCGAGCCTAGTACACCGAAACAGCGCGTGAGTCACATCTATCAATTACTTGTAACACCAATCATTGAAGCCCACTTTGCACCATCTTGGAATAACTACATGCCCATTGTACTGATATTGGCTAAGCATCACACTACGTGACACGCCCTCCGAGACGGCTTTTGTTCATATTAACCTATTGCGTACGCGTAATATACTCTATTTTGTAAAGAGAAAATAAAGCTGCGTTCACAACAATATTAAATATTAAATATATAATTAATTGTCTACTTGCATAAAATTATGGAATCCAGTTTGAATAAATCGTTCTCGGAAACAAACCTAACAGAAATAAATAAAGCTGAATCTAATTCCTCCACTAAAAATGTCACAAGCCGCAGCAAAAGAAAGAAACATGATGAAGATATTAGCATTGTATTTTCCATATTCGAGGAAGAAATGAAAAATCTGATCATTTCTTTGACAAGCAAGCATGGAGAAGAACTAAAAAAATAGCACCAACACTTGCGGATATTCAGAAATCTAACCAGAACATAGAAAACTCCATTGCATTCCTCACTGCACAGAATGATGAATATAAAAAGAAAATTGAAAAATTAGAAATCCAAGCGCAAGAAGATCGAAAATATATAACTATTCTAGAAGATAAAATAGAAGATATGCAGAAAGGGATGAGAAAAGCGAGTTTTGAAGTAAAGAACGTAGCAAAGAAAGAAAATGAGACGAAAGAAGATTTAGTAGAAATGGTCACTTGTCTTTCAAAGAATATAGGTTGTGAAATAAACAGGGCGGAGATAAAAGATATATATAGAGTGCGAGTAAGAAAAGATGGAGTGAAAAATACACCAATTGTGGTGGAAATGACTTCAACTCTAATAAAAAATGACTTCCTCAAAATGAGCAAATCATTCAATACTAAACACAAATCAAAAATTTGTGCAAAACATTAGGCTTTCGAACATCTGAAGATATTCCTGTATTTATATCTGAAAATCTGACTGCCAAAGCATCGCGCTTATATTTCCTTGGAAGAGACCTGGTTAAGTTCAAATCTTACAAGTTCTGCTGGACTTCCTATGGGAAAGTCTACGTACGAAAGGATGAAAAGTAACGTATTATTCACATTAAGGATGAATGGCAAATACAACAATTATCACAAAAAGAATGACTAGATAAAATATATTGCATACTACTAAGTTTGTTACTAGGATATAAGTATAATAATTCGATTTTACTATTTGCATATCTTAAAATTAATCTTAAGTTTACACATTATAAAATCACACAAAAAACACTTGAACTCTCGAACACCCCAATATACACACTTCCTAACATTTTACTTATTACTACTCGTACATTTAACTATTTTAATACGCAGTACATCAGAAGTGTTTATAAAAACTTATACAACTTGCAATTAACACTATTTAGTCTTACCTTTGAAGTAGATCTGTTAATTCTAACAGAATGCAGGCTTGATAACAATAAGCATCTGCCACAAATTACAAATTACACATCGTTTGTTACAGTGTTTTACAAACAATGTATTGGGGAGGCCTACATTCAGCTGTGGATGTTTTGATAGGATGTAATGATAATGATGATAATGGTATGGTTAATGATATAATGGTTATTGATGCAAATAATAATCCACAACCCATGACAAGCAATGGACTTTTATGGGCTAGTGATGACGATGACGCTGGCAATAATGTCAATCGTACGAGACCATAACCAAAAATAAACCGTTCGAATTTTAAAACATTTTTCAATAATTTAATTTCAGCTTTGCGACTACGCGCAGGCGTGGGCCAACCACTTGGCACACACCAATAAGTTTCACTACAGGAACGATCGCGACGTTGGCCAAAACCTCTATCAGCGACCAGTCAGCGCGTTGCAGCCTGACGTAACCGGTAGCGTATTTTTAACAATTTTTTTTTAGTAGTAGGTACACCTTTATTTAGACGATCATATAGTCCACTAGGTGGTAAGTGGGTGAGGGGTCCATAGACATCTAAGAATCAAAATGCAGATGCGTTGCTCTGAGGGCTAAGATGGAATGCATCTTTCTCAGTAAATATACATTTTACTACAGTAAAACAGACTTTTAATACTTTTAAAAAGTAAAAACCGATTTCAATGAACTAAGAAGAATTAAGTAATTTATAGAAATCTAATGGAATATTAGCTTCTAAAGTCTGGACCTTAATACTTATTTTTGTTCAGGGCCATCACTTCTGTTTATTTTTCTCCCACTTTGGTTCATTAACAGTTAGTTATAGAAAAATGGCGTTTGGATGTGTTGGTGGAGTTTACATTAATCGAAATATTTTACTATGCTGATATGCAGTTTTCTCACGATGTTCTCCTACACTAAAGCGCTGCGCAAACGTGGACACTTTTTGTTAGCGACACGGCATACCATCACAGGAAACCGTAGTAGCTGTGTCCGGTAGTGGCAACCAGACACAGACGCCGGTTGCTATTTCTGGATACTGGTAACAATTCGTTGCTTGTTTACCGTCAGTTTCACCTTGGATGTCGATGGAGGAACATTGCCTTTGCTTGTTGTGTTGATTACACGTTGACGTAGATGTCGTCGCCCTCAATATTTACAGGCAAATCCACCACGTCAATGTCAGCTCCGTACAATTGTAAGGAAATTTGCTTTGTGTTGCTTGTGTCTTCAACTGACGACTTAAAGTTTCCACTTACCTAAACCAAACACTTTTTGATTGGCGGTCGGTATGTGTCAAGTGGAAGCAACTGGACACAAAAAGCGCCTGCGTCTGCGCAAGGAATGGCTGATTTCATATTGATTACATGAAAAAAAATATTCATTAGTAGCTTGTATCCCACACAAGACACAATAGAGTGTAGGTTTGCGCAGAGCCTAAGTTGCAATCGCAATATAATGCTGACTACATTTTTTTTATAGAAATAGGGTGACAAACCAGCACACAGTCCACCTGATGGTAAGTGGTTACTGTGACCCATAGACATCTACATCTATCCTCAATGAAGACTCAAGATGCAGATGCGTTGTCACCCGTGAGGACTAAGATGGAATGCCTCTTTGCGAGTAAAAAGGGTCTCCGGTTCTCTACACTCACCATACGAAACACAGTAGCATTAAGCCGCTATTTTACGCTGGTATTCTGTGAGAGCGTGGTCCTTCCCCGGTCGAGCCGACCCATTCGTGCTACAACTATATTATAAATGTAGCTGCAGCTTGGCTCTACCACGTCTTATAACAAATTACACTTTCATTTATTACTACATTGAAATTACGATTGCTCGCGTACATTGTAATTCACGGCGAGCGCTTAGCCCAAGTGTTAACACAATGAAAAAGTTTATTATAAATAAATGTGCACCTATAACACAATATATGTATTCAATTAATATTTGTACAGAGCACTCAATATTACAGTTTTTGTAATCACTACACTTAATTACACTTTGACTAATTTGACGCGTGTTCTCAAAACAGAATGCCTAAGAATCATGATGCACCCTATTTTATAACATTTCCCTTTTCACTTCTCTTCCGTTGTGCACGAAGAGAGGCGGACGATGTTGCCAGTAATAAAGTTGCCAACACAAGTGTTACCACGGCTCTTATATAATAACGACATAATTTTATTCTTATTTTTAGGTCAAGAAGTATCTTCGTACTGGTACGCAGCAGTTCGTCAATATAATTTCTTCAAGGAGCATGACGTTCTCCATGCTAATGTCAATGCAGGTAAGAAAAAAAGTAATCGACAATAAAAACATTGATATTCTAGGTGCATTTTTGTACGAAATCATTTTAGTACCACTTTTGCTTTTTAAATTCTAGTTTCTAACTTTATTCATCAGCCATGGGGAATACGGCAGATTTTAGAGAGCGGTAATTTGAGAAAAAAAATCTGTTGCCCTTAACATTTTAAATAATGCCTGTAACAATTAAAAAATTCTAAGAAAAAGATCTTACTAAATACACCACATAACACTCCACATAACTTATATTCCAACAGAAAACAGAAGAATAACAGATACTCTCGAAATTCTTCAGAATTGTTATTCGTAAATATGAAAGAAGCAAGAAGAACGCGAAAAGAAAATTGAGAATATGTGAACCATATGTATACTAGCTGACCTGGCAAGCGTTGTTTTGCCATAATATACATTACTTCTAGGAAATATTTTTAGTTCTAAAAATAGGGGTTGATCGTAGAAGGGTGAAAATTTGAAGTTTTATGAATTCAATGCTAAATCATAATAAAATAAAAAAAAATTGTCTAAAAATATTTTAAAAATTTTTTTAGGGGTGGCTCATCCTTATCATTTAGGGGCTTGAAAAATAGATGTTGGCCGATTCTCAGAGCTACCCGATATGCACACAAAATTTCATACAAATCGGTTGAGCTGTTTCGGAGGAGTTTGGTAACGAACACCGCGACACGAGAATTTTATATAATATTAGATAAGGCCGTGTGTATATATAATCGCTTCTTATAACACCCACGGGAACTGGAAGGAAAATATCCAGACTGGCTCCAGGCAGCAGCGACAAAGGTGCGAGAAGTCTGGCTCTGGATCATCAATCCACCTACCAAGCGTGGCAATTATAACCAATAGCAAGCAATGGGAGAGGCACTTGACCAACAGTGGAATATAACAGACTGATTAAGAAAAAACAGAAAATCCAACATCGGAGGCATAGGATAAGTATGACAAACGAGCACACAGTCCACCTGATGGTAAGTGGTTGCTGCGGCCCATAGACATCTACATCTATGCTCTATTACAAATCAAAATGCAGATGAGTTGTCACCCGTGAGGACTAAGATGGAATGCCTCATTTCCAGTAAAAAGGGCCTCCGGCCACCTGCACTCACCAAGCTAAACGCAGAGGTAAACCTCCACTTCACGCTGGTTTTCTGTGAGGTCGTGGTACCACCCCGGTTCGAGCCGGCCCATCTGTGCGACAGCAAAAGCCGCTACGTGGCTCTACCACTGTTAGAAATAATTTCGATCATCTATTTTCACTTTAGATTTTGTTAAATTATATTTATTGATTAATTATGTCAGTTAATTCGCATTTCTTTTAATAAAAATGGTACTAAGTAATTTTAATCTGTTTTTTATTTTCTCAGGTCACTTCACACAAATGGTTTGGGTTGCGACGCGTTTCTTCGGGGTCGGCAAGGCTCGTTCTCGAGCCGGCAAGGTGATTGTGGTCGCGAACTATTCTCCGCCTGGCAATATATCAGGGCAGTTTGAGGCCAACGTGCTCCCCCCACTGCCAGAAAATCTCCCCGAGCTCGCCCCACCTACGGTTCAGTGACGTAAATTTTCCATACGTGGCCGACGATTCAGAATCGATGGCACGTTTAATAACTAAACTTGACGGTCCCTGTTACGACTTAAGACATCGTTAGGAGGTTTTGGCGACAACTCTACTAGACTGCTCATGTATAATTATTAAATGGTTTATAATGGACTTTGATACGTAAAAGTGCTTCAATGTTTGGATATTAAATGTTTGCGCATGTGGAATGGACGTTATCGATGAAAAATATTTAGGATGATAATAAAAACATATAAGATATTTTGTCCGTTTCGGCCACTTAGATTATCGGTCATTGACTCTCCTGCTCTGCTGATGTCGTGAAGTATTAAAAACGAGACGTAAAAAGTAACACATTGTAATGAAATCTGTAGTGTATTTAATTTTATTCGTGGTAGAGCCATGCTGCAGCTATAATACAGATATAGTTACAGCACGAATGGGTCGGCTCGACCGGGAAAGGACCACGCTCTCACAGAATACCAGACTAAAATAGCAGCTTAACACTGCTGTGTTTCGTATGGTGAGTGTAGAGAACCGGAGACCCATTTTACTGGAAGAGAGGCATTCCATCTTAGTCCTCACGGGTGACAACGCATCTGCATTTTGATTCGCAAACGAGGATAGATGTAGATGTCTATGGGCCACAGCAACCACTTGTCATCAGGTGAACTGTGTGCTCGTTGGTCACCCTATCCTATAAGAAAAAATCATTTGCAGAACTCTTTTTAGGTGAAAACCTTGCAGCTATCCACAATAGATAAAAAATAACATATTATTTTAGCAATAGAGTCGTACAGTCATACTTTTATCAGTGTCAAGAACAGGAAATTAGTCTTTTTTAATAATTTGTTCAAAAACTTCCCCACAATATGTTGATGCGCCTCATTAAGTTTTTGGTAAATTTTGACGATAATCTAAGTCATCTGACAATTGATAATAACAGTATCTCAAGTTCTTAAGGCGCCTAAGACAAAATAACTTAAGGTACTTATATCAACATCAGAGCACTAGTTGGTTCTCCTAATAATTCACAACTAAACATAAAATCGCATCACTTTTACGTATCAAAATCGACTTCAAACATATTTAAACGATAAAACTTCAAATTCCCGCCAAAATCCCCCAAAATAATGATCAATCGAAATAACCGATCAAAGTCCTAATTACGTTTTAAATTACACTTTGATCGAAGGTTTAGCTGCAGTCATATGCTGTTATTATAACAAAACTTATGAATGCGGTTTCATACTTTCATATTGCCAGAGAGATACTTTCCAAGCCTATATTTTATAACTTTCATATTTTGTATTGCTTTTAAAAATAAAAGGAAATCCAAATCGCAAATACTCGTAAATTCCATCAATATTGCAAGTTCACAATTAGCTTAAACATTTTAATAAATCCCTGGCGGTTTACGTGAAAGAGACAGACTGCAACTTATTATCGCTGCACTACGATTGGCTCTGGATAGAATGGCTCAGCTCGAACGGATTAAGGACCACGTACTCCCAAAATAATAACTTATACCAGTAGAATTCTGCTGTGCTTCTTATTCGTGTGGTGGGTGAAAGAACTGGCCATTTTTTACTGGTAAAAAGACTTTCCATTTTAGTTACCATGGGTTCACACCTCTGCACATAGACTCTAAGCCTCTGCATTTCCGTTCTTAATCGAGTAGAAATATATGGGCCGCTCCATTCACGTACTTACCATCAAATGGACTGCGTGCTTCTTTAACACCCTTACTTGCAGAAGGAAAAGTCCTTTCGAATTGATCTGGTTGCGAGACAATCAACTATGATCATTATTAAATCGACTTAAATCATTAAATAGAGCTTTAGATTTCATGTGGCCTACATATACGTGAAAAACATAAAATCTATAGAGAGAAAATTCCATGTCCACTTTTTTACATTATATATGTCCACTAGCTTAGTAGATAATGTGTAGAAATGTCGGTTGTTTTGCCTGAACTTAAATTTTACTGAATTTAATCACACTTGTTAAAGCAATATTGTTGTACGCACAGTTATTAGCTTTTTTAAATATAGAATTAAAATCACTTACGAAATGTATTTATACGTCCATCTATTATATAGCAATTTAAAAAAAAATGCTTTTTCATCACTGAGTTATAATGTACTACTACATTATAACTCAATTATTTTTATTAAGATGAAATTCACTAGTTTGTTAAAACTAAAACTAAAAAATACATAATATATGATGCATTTTATTAGGTACTTTTCTATTCTGGCCTATGTCCAAACTCAATAGGGTAAAATCACACAATCGCAAGTATACTTCATAGGCATATAAATACTAACATAATGTAGTGGAAATATTATAAATTTATAGAACATATAAGTATAGGCCAGTACATTTTGCTCTTCCGCTAAAATTAAAAACCTGTCTTCCTATATGGTTGATTATACCTATCATGTTGTTAAATTTATCCCAAAGCTTTAGTAATTTTGTATAATTGTTATACCCACCTTAATATCAAATTTTATTTTTTACAATGTTATTATAACACTTTTTCTATGCTGTTTCTTAGTGTATTAAGAAATCAGTATGTACAATAATGTTGTATAAGCTAGATATCTGTTTGTTAGATTTATCATACAATTTCCTATGATAATGTTAACTATGTTGCTTTCTGTTTACAAAAAAAATCAGTCACTACTTCATCTTTGAATATGTACATAGAGTAGAGTACCTAATTATAATTTATATAATCTTACATAGTCATGTCATCTTTGAATATGTACATAGAGTAGAGTACCTAATTATAATTTATATAATCTTACATAGTCATGTTAGCATGCCGATGTTATGTCAAACCAGTAATTCGGCACCATGGTGGAAGGATTATGCAACAAAACTAAGAGCTTGTATATTTCAATTATATTTGTATTGAATAGGCAGCGTCTGCATCACTTGGGAACCTCAAGAAAAAAATTGATAGTGCTTATTAATTATATTTATCGATAAACATCACCTAAATTAATTATTACTTTCAAACCAATACTAAATAGCGTTTGCTTTCAATTTGTGAGCTTCAGCTTAGTTGATGTAATATAGAATCTAGTAAAAATTTAGGTATATAAATATTTAAAATTTCTACTTACCTTTACCTGTTTCCATATAGCTACGTTCAATTTTAATAACAAACACACAAGGTTACAAAACGTAAAGGTTGTGAAAAACAGTAAACGAATCGGTATTCATAATTATAGATAGAGCTCGTATTTCATAATTATAGAATATATTTGTTATATCTATATCTATTATAAGTGTATACTTGTGCTGAAATGCAATGACAGAAGAATCAGGCAAAATAACATTATTATTTTATTTTACATGAAATTGTTAAAGTTAATTGATACCTATTACTATTGATTGATACTATAACTATATAAAAATATGTCACATTAGCATAATATTAGATTTAGTTTTAGAGTGTAACTCACAAAGAGACGAGACGCGACGGAGCAACATAACCTCTGTATTTATACCTATGTATATGTAAACACAAAGCTTTTTCGTAGAGCTTATTTAGAAGGTACGCATTTCTAAGAGTGCAGAGTGCAGAAGCGGGCTGAACCCACCCACTCATAAGTGAACATCCCTAACACTTTAATTGGGGGAAAAAAGAGAATATAATAACTAACAGAGTCATTATATTCGCTTTGGGATACTAGATGCAGTGGTGCCACTTCATGCAGCCTCTTCAAGTATCTTATCTGCACGCCGCGTCGCGTCACTTTATGTCTTGGTGTAAGCTGACCCAAGGTGGCTTACACATTACGAATACAAAATGTGTATTTATAAAATTTCTTATATTATTTATAAAAACAATATAAAATTGTCTCTACACACCGAAAACTATAGGAGTTCTAAAAATATCGAAGAATTTTTGTCATTTGTTCGAAATAAGTTACTGGTGTTATAATCTTTTGTTGGACCCGAGGTCCCGAGGTACCTAACAATAAAAAAAAATTAGTTAAGGTTTTTAAATTTTTGATGACACTTCATTTAATTCTTTCTAAATAATTAGGAAAAGATTTTATTTTTTATTTCCAGTAATAATCCAGTTTAGATTACTTCGCCATAAGTCGTGGTAAAATTGCTACGTTCATGGGGAAAAGAATACAAAATTTGAAAAGGCACACTGATAGAGACTTTTAACGATATCACCATTTAAAATACCTATGTAGAGTCATTTTAAATGTTATCTCGATTTATAAATAATTGTTGGTTATAATTTTAAGCAAAATTAAAAATTCAAACCAAATTAATTTTAAAGCATCACGTTTTGTATGACACATTTAGTTTCAATTGATATCACATTACAAGGAATGGTACTACACATTTGTTATAATCAATGTTCGTTCCCATCATTTGCTAACAAGTTAGCAATAGTCTTAGTATATTATAGAGAATTTATGACACGTATGAGCCTGAATAAGACGAGAGAAAATTTATTAAGATTTGATAAGTACCTAGTTAATAATTAAGCATGTAATGATAAAAATATTTTATTTTTGTTTTAAGAACAACCAACTTAGCTGATAATAATGCTTGTGCTAGGAGCGGTTTACGGCTTTACGGCTATAGTCGAATAAAGATAACTTAACCATAAGGTCGCTATGGTTTGAAAATTGTTGACTAAATTATAAATGCTTGCTAAGTCCAATGAAATCAATTTTATTGTGATCGACAGGTCAATTTGATTACTTTACAAAAAAATTTACAAAAGTTATAACTATCACATTTAAAATTTAGGAATGCCATGCATGAGAATGTTCTATACACAAAAACACTGAATGTGGTCTCTTTAACCTTAGCAACGCGCTCTGGGTCGCGCGCGGTTGTTGTCCCACATATCGACGGGCGAGCCTCATTGCGGTGAAGATTACTGCGGTTTAAATCCTCGGGGAATCCTCGGCGTCGACATATGGAATGACATTCAATTACACGGTCACTTTGAA